ACTAGACTTAAAATATAAAACCTTTTCCAATCATGTAAAATGTTTTCATTAAGTTTAATAAAGATAAGAGCAAGGTCCCACCTTAAACATTAATAAAAAAAAAAAAAAAAACTTTTAATTAATATCAATATACTCTAGTGTAAAGTTATAAATTTGGTAGATTTAACTTATGAAGATTCATCTAATTTATTATTAGAAGAATCAAGTTAGGCAAGTTGTTTCTATATATTAATTGAAGAGTTAAATTAAGAATATTATTTACTAGTTAAAGATTCAGATAAAGAAAGTCAGAGATTAATTAAAAGCCAATCATGTGTATACCTTGACCGTCACAATCCAATATGTAATATGGCAAAGCAACTTGTTGAAAAAATTGTCAAATTATTCATAATATTATAAAAAAATATTATAAAACTAAGTATTATTTAATTTTTAATCCAGGAGACTTTGTTAAAATTAGAGTTCCAGATATTGATAAGCTAAAAATAGATAGATATTTTTTACTTTGTAAAGTTATTCAGAAAAAACTCAATCTTGATTCCTATTAGGTTGGGAGCAAATTTAGAATTTTAGATACATGGTTTTTAGCCAATAAATTAGAACCTTTAAGTATATTATAAATAGAAAGTAAGATTAAAATTAATAATTCAACTTAAATTCCTTTTTCTTCTACAACAGGTACAAATGAATATTTATCTCTTAATATCATTCCACTAAGCAATTTTATCTCATTAAGAAATGCAACTGTGTTGCAAAATTTGAAATGTCCAATACAAAAAGTACAAGACATTGAAGATGATTCATTTATTTAATCTCTAATAAATAATTAAGCAAAAAAAAGGAATTTTAAAAAAAATGATGATTGTCATTGTAGTAAAACCAACTGCAAAACCAAAAATTGTTTATGTTGAAAAAATAATACACTTTGTACAAGATGTTGTGGTTGTTTATTGAGGAGCAGATGCAATAATCATTAATAATAGTTATTAATTGTAGTATGGTATAGATATATTTGATGCATAATTTATTTTTCACTTTTAATTACTGTAATTAATACATAATTGATTTTTTCAATTATTTTAATTTTTTTTATTTTTTAATATTTTATGAATTAAGTCAATCATAATATACAGGTAGTTAATATTGTTATACCAATTATTAATTGACATATATTAAAGTGTAATTTTAAATTAACACATGTTATTTTAAAGCTAATATGAATTGCAAAATAACATATAACATGTATACCAATTATATGTCATTTTTGGAATTTGTTATTTATAAATTGATGTCTGTTATTTTTTAATATCCACTGATTAAAAAGTAATTCAAGTCAATTATAATGTATTCTATTTTAAACTAAAATTTATCAATATAAAGAAAATTGCATAATATAATATTATATATATTGTCTATAAGCAAAAAAAGTATATGAAAAGTATTTTGCAGGAATATATTTGCATAATATATTATATATTTTGTTAGTAAAATATATTTGTATAATATAATATTGCATATTTTGTTAATAAGTAAAAAAGTATATAAAAGTATATAAAAGTATATTGCAGTAGAATACATTTGCATAATATAATATTATATATTTTGTCAATAATCAAAAAAGTAAATTATAGACCCAGAAGAGATAGATACACACAGTTCTCTAACGCACAACCTGAGCACTGCTATTTCTTGCGGAACTGTGAGAGCTGGGTA